GTGTTGAATCTAATATTTTTGAAAAAATTCAATCCGATACACATATTCCGGTTCTAAGCAATTTATCTTCTTTACCAAATCTTACCTCATTAACTATCGAAACATCTAATGTTCAAGAAGAAATCAATGATATCTATCGATTGATATTTGTCTTACCTAAATTGAAATATTATCGAATTTTCTTTTCTAATAATTGTCATTTAATTACACTTCCATTGGCTTTGAATAATCAATGCAGTCCTATTGAATATCTTGTTATTGATCATGATTGTTCTTTGAATGAACTCCTATCTTTAATTCCTTACACACCAAAACTTCGTCGTTTAACTGTTCATAAAATAAAAACGAATGATTCAAATATTACAATATTATCATCAATTACATTAGTTAATCTAAATTTGATTTATTTGGATTTACATCAAACGACATTTAACGTACGGGAAATATTCATTACAAAAAAATTTCCCAATTTAAAAAGTTTATTTATTGTTAGTTCAGATGATATCACTTTTCTTAATACTTATCGATGGGAACAATTCATTTTGAATAATTTTCCTTAGTTAGAAAAAATTTATTTCGTATATGATGATCTTCTTCATCATTTTGGATTGAACAACAATGGCTATTTGAAGCCGAAATCAAGGATACACATATCGAATATACTATTCGTTCATATAGGTACATAGAAAAATAATTCCGATAATAAATTAATTTTTGTTTAGTAAAAGATGGTATGATGATACTGAAGATAATATTGTTAATTATTATGTTAAACATTCTACATTTACTAATTTGACATTCGAATGTATTCCTAGTTCTATGTTCGAAGAAGTGATACCCAAAGAAATTGAACGTGTTTTAACAATGTCAAAAATTTATCACTTAGAAATTCCCGCAAAAAAAGTCTCAATTCCTGCATTGATTCAAGCTGTTAATTTATTACCCAACATAAGGCTTGTTCACATATTTTACTTTTGCATTATAACTCACTGCATAGATACGAATCGGAGAAAAAGAAAAAATTTTCATTACAACTCCAATAAAAAGTGCTTTTTTTGTTTGTTCTTCTTTCTGCAACTCATTTGTTCTTAACTTTTTTTTGCTTACACTTCTTGTGTACCTTAGTTGCATTTTCAGACAAGACACAACAGAACTATAAATTGATTGAATAGGGAAAGAAAGATTGCCGTTGTATTTATGCTCAGCATCATTTCTGCAAATTCTGAATCATATTATATTCATCCTGTGAGTCCCACTAATATAACCTAACGACAACATCGACTCCATTGACAATCATCATTGAAAACTGAATGTTAGAAAAGTTAGCACCAAATTTGGTATTTCTTGTCTCGATTCACTTTATCATTTGTGTTATATATTTCGATGATTATGCCAGATGCAGAATTTTATGATGAATTCAATAGCACCATTTTCAAGAGGGGGTCTCTGACAAAAACTCGACGTTGCTCTGAAAAACATCTTTCCGATCCATTTTTCGGTACTAGACAAAGTGTGGGTGTGAAGGTGTGCGTGTGCGTGCGACGTAGGATGCGTGATTCAAAAGGAATAATCGATAAATGTACAGAGACCTATACACCCACCCAAGTATATGATGGATATTTTCATGTGCTTAAGGTTGAACCTTTTTACTTGTTCAACTTTCGTTTTTCTCTTCAATTTTTGAAATTCAAGGTTTAAAATGTGTTTTTCTTGATTATAGTAATTCGTGTTGGATGTTGTGGTTATAAATATTCGTGATTATCAATGACGATTCTTTACTGATGGACATCTTGTAAGAACATTCGATTACAACGAGAAGGACATGCTTGATCCTTTAGCGAAGGAAATGTTTGAATGACAATAATTTATTCTCGTTACACAGCAATATGTAAATAAGAAAGAAGGACGGAAACAAAAAGAGAATAAAAAACACGTGCGTCTAAAGCATCGAAGCAACGTTTCTTTTTTTACTTAATGCATAAACATATTTAAAGAAGTTGATAAAATAGTACTATTCATCAATCAGTTGTTTGAAGAAGTATGCCATTAACAACAAGAACAAGTCCAAATGATTTAAATGAAACTACGTGTAAGAAATCGGTGAATTACGAATTCCGTGCGCAAAGTGCTCCGACACTTTCACTTCAACAACTTATTCGTTTCTCTGTTACTTCAGCCAATGCTTCGGCATGGATACCATCTGGTGTCTATCATCCACCTAGGTTTCATGCTTATCTATCATCTGAAATCTCAGAGAAATTAGTAACTTCTAAAAGTGCACAACGACCGTATTCTTGTACACAAAGAAGTTCCATCGAGACTAATGTACCGAAAACTACTAAGAGAGTCGAAGCATTTGAATTACTACAGAGAGCTACGCAGAGTTCTTTACGAAAACGGTCGACGCCATTCGATTCAAGAAGACCACTGGGAACATCATTTCTTCAACCGGCTTGGAAACCAGCTGGAAAAAGATCACATTAATCTGTACCATATTTTGATCAGTCTCATTTACGTTGAACATCTCAAAAACTTTCTAAACCTATCGATTATCGACAATCGGCAAATGTTCTTACATTAGTAGTGAGTAATGCATATACGAACTGATGTTTATGCATCCCATGTATTTCACTACTACAGAATTGCCACGAAGAAGTAGCTTCACACATAATAGCAGTGCAGTTGTTAGAAAATTTTCGATATGGAATTGATACTAATGAATTAGTGTTTCCGAGTATGAATTTGGTAGTTTCTATTGAATAAAAGTGTTTGTGTTAGCTATTTTTATTTTGAAAAAATATCCAATAGCTTTCAATTAAACGAGGTTTGAAGTCTATTTTCAATTAAATTTCCAAGACCTTCATCAATCGAAATATCTCTTTGGTAACGACTATGTTTTGATCAATGACGAAAAACAAAATACAAAACTTTTTCTTTTCTATTCTATTCTTATTATCGCATAAAGTGCAAGTGAGGTATGAATTTCACGGCACACACTATCGACACAACTATTCATTTATGTGAAAGAAAAACAGT